AAATGACTGTGTTCTCTCTAACTGAGAAAGTCTTTTTTTCCACCACTCTTCTCCGCTGTTCTGCTCTGCCTCCCAGCCCCCTCAGGTAAATTGGATGTTCACACACCTGCTCTGTGCGGCAACTCCAGAGGCACCGAGCTGATGGTTGCTCAGCTTTTGTGTTTTCTCTCTCCCCCTTATGCCACGTTTCTTGCTCCCGTGACCTTACACCAAACCGTTTCAGAGAGCAAAGCTAACAAAAAATACTCTTCTAGGAGAAGTTGTTTTGGAGCCTTTTGGTGGTTGTTGGATTTAAAGAGCCAAAATATTTATATAATACTGCAAGGAGGAAATTGTTTAACACCAGAAATAAAACACTTCCATGGACACCACATTTTCTCTGTGCTGAAGATTGTAGTAGTAATGCCTAACTATGTTATGCAAATAGAATAAAAAAGTTGAATCTCCTCCTGAAAGCACAACTCAAAGTTCTGATGATCTCCAAGGACAGTAGTTTTACAGCCTTTCTTAGTAAATTATTTCAGTGCTTAAACACCCTCACTCTGACTTTTTTTTTCACCCTTATATTCAGTTGGAATTTCCTTCCCTGCAAATAAATGAGGGTTTAGATCATGCTTCAGCTTTGTTCAGAGGAATTTGCCTGTAATACATAGCACTAACCACAGGACTAGCAGTAATTCAGAAGCTGGCTTTTGACTATTTGACTCTTTGTTTTCAAACTCATATTTAGAGTTGGGCATCTCCCTTCACAGGGCAATGAGTAGTGAATGGGAGCAGTTTCTTTGTTGCTAGATTTACTGATGACATCAGATCTGAATGATGTGTGTGTGTAGCAATGGCTTTCCTGGCTTTCTGCAGTACAGAACAGTAATTCATAATGTTCCTGGCCCGGAGGCTTTCTGAGGGCTCTCTGTCACCCACAGATTCCTGCTCATTTACTGTCTCAAGGGAAGGGGAAGACTTTCCCCCACAGAAGATAAAATATTTTATGGCATATATGTCAGCATATGTTCCTTTAATCTAGCTTTCTAGTAAAAGCAACAGATGCATTGGTAGGTATAAGAGTTTAGGAAACTGGTTTTTAACTGACCTTAAAGTGTAGAACAAGTGGGGTTTTTGTTTCTTTGGCAGATCTGCTTACATAGTAATACGAAATCAAAATTGCAGTGAATTTCATAAAAACAAAAATTGTTTGCATTGGAAAGAGATTAGTTGTTGGTAATTATTTAGTGGAAGATTGTCTTGCACCTGAGGCAAGTGAAAAATACAGAGTTTTAGCAGTAGTCCCAAGTTGTGTTTTACTGCTTGTTCTCAGGGCTTAACTTTATTTCTTAAACTGTTTGATATTAGGAGAGGAAACCGTGCAAGTATCAGAGGGAATGCAGATCCTATAAGACAGCTGTTTCCTGTTGCGTGGCTTTACCTTAGCAGCCTGTGTCAGTGCCTGCTTTAACAAGTGCTGGTCCTCTAATTCAGTGTTTTCAGCTGAGTGCAAACCGCTGGACAAGCACGTTCTGAGGGACACACCGTAACCTGTGCAGGGTCAGGCTTAGGCAGCAGCCAGAAGAAATCAGTGTGCAAACTGGTGCTATAGAAGTAAAATTAGGGAGAATTATTTTACAAAACTTATTTTTGGTCACCTTTGCTTTAACAGCATCTTATTATGATCAAGGAACAGTCTGTGTTAAGTGTCTTTTTCAGTTCAGGTTGATCAGAATTCCCGTTCGTGTGTGACCGTTACCAGTTACATAGCAGCAAGGTAGTTTTTCTTCTGGAGTTCTCAGCATGAGTAATTGTGGTAACAATACTGTATCTATTTGTAAATGAAGCACCGCTGGAATTTTGTGTTGTAGGAATTACTTCAGTTCCCTTCCTATTAACAGATGAAATGTTTCCTTTCACCTGAGTTAAGGTTCTTTGGTTTTAATGGCTGGGATTAAAATATTTATTGTAAAAATAATTATCTAACACTATTCTTATGTAAAAGGTGGTTTATTCTGCTATAATCACCACTGTCCTTCATCATTAAAACAGACACGACCAATTGTGTGGTTTTCCTCCTCTCAATTTTGAAGACTCATCTTCCTTACATGACCATGAACTATTAGAAGACCTTCAGGTGCTTACAAAAAGCTCCTGAATGAAATTTAACTCAGATGATGGCAAAGTTTTTGTCACAATGGCCTTAGAAAGCATACTAATAGAATATTTTTTCAAAAGCGAAGTTATTTTTATAGATGCAGACATGAATCAGCCTGGAAATGATAACAGCGTGTGTTTTCGACGTTAAAATGGACACTAGCAATAGTTCAGAGAGTCTTTATTTCATTGCTTGTGGTACTGAACTCATTTTCATGAACACTAAAACAAGTGAAGCATTATTTTAAAATGAACTAACGTATGAGTTAAGCATTGTGTAATGAACTGACTCGTCATGTTTGTGTGCCTCTACGCTGAGTAATACGTGTCGTTCTTAGTAACGCTTGAGCACAGTAAATGCCTTCACGAGGAAGTTTCGAGGACATCTGCTCTGGACATGGAGAGACAGCGGCAGCAGTAGATAGGGACAAGTACGCTTCTGTTGTGGCTAAGTGATGCAAATAAACCTAGGTTTCTTGCAGAAGACACCTTTGTTTAGGGTTATAAATGAAGCCAATTGATTTTTCTTTTTTTTCTTGTCTAGCCATCTAGAGAGCAGCTGTTGGTCCCAGCGTGAATGTGAACTTTTCTGTACCGGCACAGTTGGGCTTCAATTACTACAGAGTTATAAGCTCAAAATACAGTCATCAGTGATGGAGCTGTTTTCTTTGTTAAATTTCACTTCTGTTAAATATTGACTAGGAGTTACAAACTAAAAGTAGTTTGTAGCTACAAGATATCTTACATAGTTTAGATTCCTGCAGTGATCTTGTTCCATAATAATAAATTCTAAGAATTATTTGTAGTAATAAAAGTTGAAAAATGCTCTACTTTACTCTTTGGGCCTACTTATTTCTTTAAACACGTATGTAAAATAATTAGTTAACTAGATAGAAAAAGGCTATTTATTCCTTTGTCTACTTTGTACTGATTTCTTGATAGAACCATGCAGGTAAGTGTCAGTATCGGAGAACCAGGGTAACTGTTCAGTGTATTAGTAAGCGTGCGTGCTAATACCTTAAACTAGGATTGCTGGTATTGTTGTTGAATGTTCCTTAAACAAAAATGGATAGAGAGGAGGCAACCCAAGTTTATAATCTCACTGTTCCCTATTTCCTCAGTCTTTTTAGTTATTTCGTATTTTAAGTCCAGAGGAACTTTAATTATACAACCTAGTATCTGAGCGGTTTATCAGTGTCTTTTTTAATTAAAATCTTTATTTGGCAGGGAAAAGGAAGCTTTTAAAAATCTAGTTGTTTTGATCTCTCGAGTATTCTTTCATAGCAGTTCTGGGTTTTAACAGTCAAGTCTAAGTTTTTATCTTAAACCTAACATCTAGTTGAAAATGTAATGTAATTAAGCAAATTTCCGAGATGCTGTTCTGATAATGCAATGGTTTTAGTTCTGTTTCCTGTGGAAGTAATGATTACTGATTAATTCACATCAGGAAAGAAGTTGTCATTTCTCTGTAAATGATTAGGTTATTCCTCATGCTCTACTTCATAGTATTTAGGCAGAGACTGAGTTAGAACTGAACTCAGAAGACTCAAATTCCAAATGATTAGGTTATTTCTCATGCTCTACTTCATAGTATTTAGGCAGATACCGAGTTAGAACTGAACTCAGAAGACTCAAATTCTGAAATGAAGATGTATTCCTGGCTGTCTGTAATGCCTGCATAGAGAGGTGATGAAGTGTAAATAAAATTCTTTCAGATTTTTATCCTATCGTGGTTTGCTTTTATGACTTGTCACTCCTTTTTCAGAGGGGTTAATATTCATTAAATTTCATAGTGAAAGCTTATTTTTAATTACTCATATTTTAAGTGAAATGTGAATTTACTTCACTTTCGTAAGGTGTTATTTTTCCATGTCCTGACTTGCACATTTGTCATGAAAATACTGTCTGAAAGAAAACGAAAGCAGAGGTCTTTATTATTACTATGGAAGGTAATTAATTGAATTAAAATTGTTTAACTGAAGATTTTTCTGCCAGCTTTTCAATAGTCAGTGGGGTTTCAGGGCTAGAAGGATGTGATTTGTTATCCAGTATTGACAACTGTGTATAAGATTAAAATGCCTGACTTCTCTGGATACTAAAACAGAACTTCATACTGTGAAGTCTGTCAATTTATATTTAAGGTACAGCAAACTATAGAGTCAATCGCACATTGCCAAAATAAAAGTTTAAATACCTGACAGTATACAAGATCAGTAGGGGCTTTTTTATTTACCTGTTCATAACATTGAAATAAAGTTATACTTTCTGACCATTCAATCCGAGTGTCGTGCGTAGCTGACAGAAGTGACTTGACAGGGAGGTGCAAGCATCGAGCCCAGCCCATGCCCATGCCTTCAGCCGCGGCCTGGCAATGGCACCTGTCCTCTCCCTGCAATTAGCGTTCCCGACAGGGAGCCCCTGAGAGTTAGCCCAAATGAGAAAATTATTTCATTGTCCAAGTTAGGTTTAAAACGGAAACTAAAGTTTCGCTTAATGAGACTTTCTTAGCATCTTGGGCAGGAAGAAATAAAGTTTTCCTGTTACTAGTCCGTAATCCCTGGTGTAACATGTCTGACAGCATTTTTTTAAAAAATGAAGCTAATATACTTCCAGCAACAGTATGTCTCAAATGATTATCTTTTTTTTTCCCTGTTTTTACATTTTTAATATAATGAATAAAAGTTATCACGTATCTTGAGTGAACAGTCAGGTGTTGCATAAATCAGACACAGGTCTAGAAGTGTGATTCTGTTTAGGATCTTATTTGTGTCCTAAAAAATAGTTGAACAAGTAACACACCATAAGTAAACTAGTGATGTAGGTATTTTTGTGTCATTAACAGCTTCTGTTCATTGTTGCAGCTTTATGCAGGAGCTGTCCTAGAAGTATGTGGATGAAAATTGGGAAGGTTCCCTCAAGTCCAGGGTAAGTAAAGTCACTGCTCTTCTTTCAGATATGAAACACTCTCTCATAAAATGTGCTTTTAAGTAGTACCACAAGTAGTCATAAATGTTCATATATCAGAAAAGTTGCATTGACCTGAGTGAGGCTCATGCACCTGGTCTCCAATAATTGAGAGACGAAATTATATAGTGCACTTACAGAACAACTTTCTTTTCAGGGGTCCTGCAGTCTGGTTGTTTTGTCAGTGGACAGTGACAGTCAGCTGCAGTGAATGGAATACAGCAGTGTGATAGGAAAGTCAGGAACATCAATGTGTGTGGGGAGGAAGCTGCAGCAGTACTTTGGGGTTTTTTCCTGTAACAAAGATCCTAATAGTGTACTTTGGACATAGAAGAAAGACTAATCTAGCTTTAGACATAAAATTTCACAAACAGCATGTCTCCATCTAGCATAGCGAGTATTAACACCTTCCTATTTGAAGGCTGACTGACAAATTAGTGAAATATAAATAAATTTTAAACCAGGTTACAATTAGCAGAAGTTAGGCAGCTTTAGACCTTCTCTTGCCACCTCTGCCCATACACATTTAGGTTAATTACCTACAAGACCAGAGCAAAGCTATTTTTACCAGTGGTTAAAATGCCAAAACAAGAGTTGTTTAAATGACTTGTCCTACTTCCAGGACATAAGGAGTTTAGCTTTGTTAGCACAGGAGCCCTTGTCTCCATGACCATTTAAATTTAGCAGATGTAAAAACATAGCCAACCGTTGTTGCCCATTCACTCAGTTTCTTTCTGGTTGTAACAAGTGAGTTTTCTTTTGAGCTATAGGTTTGAAGGAGGTCAAACTGTTAGCCTGACTCCAGCCTGCATCATGTCCTCAGTTTCATCCATGTGTAGGTCCTAAAAGGGAATGGTGCTCAATTTCTGCTGTGTGCACAACATGAGACATGTTCCAGAAGCTTACAGTACAAAAGGAAAATTTTCAAGCTGGTTATTTTTTTTGTTTGGTTGGGTTTTGTGTTTTGTTGGTTTTTTTTTCAATCCTTGGTTATCTAAACCTCTTCAAAGGCTTACATTCCATCAATCATATAGCTTGCTTTTCCAAATGACTAAGTTACAGTCATTTCTCAGTAGGTTCTCAGTTTTGACTAACAGTTCCTCTTTGCTAGAGTGAGAACTAAAAAAAAAAGGACTGACTAGTGCACTTTAAGATCTCTTTCCTCTCCTTCATCACCAGTTTCTGCAGTTCCCCAGTATAAGTTTATCTTGACCAAATTTACTGCAGGATATTAGAACAGATTGGAAGATGGGCTATTACGAGCACATAATTTTTTAAAAGCAGTAGAATGTATTCTTCCAGCTGGTATTTTGTCTTCACATTAGTATTAATCTCAGAATACTTAGATTTTTCCCCTGATTTTAAGTTCTGTGAGAAACAGTATTTAATGTCTCCATCTTAAGATATTAGCCTTCAAGAAATGTTTTAATTTCAACTTCTCACTTGAACACTTGCTGCAGAAGGTAGGTTGCCTGAAGGTCATGCTCCTGCTCTTGAAGCACTGTCTTTGTAGGCTTCGCTGAGCTGTGCAGCCCATCACCGCCAGTGCCTCAGTGCAGGGAGCTGGTTCCTTTCCCACAGCTATGCTAGGAATTTGTTGGGGTTTTTTTCCCAGAATATACACTAAATGACACCACTAATTGCTGGACTGTGTATGCATTAGAATTACATGGATTAGTATATTTTACTTCTGTAGCTGACCAGGAAATCTTCACCTTTATGTACCCGTGTAAATTGTTTTGTTGCTTGGCTTACTCCCACAGACTTGATTTGTCATGAACTACTTCTGGATTATATTTCATTTGGCCAAAGGGTAAACAGTCTTTTTTTTTAGTAATGAAATACTTAAGGATTAAAATCAGTTATATTAATAAAGGATTGTAAAAGTTACACAGTGAGGAAGGTACACAGTTGGAAAAACTTGTGCATTGCTTGTTCTTACTAAATGCAATATTCTTTCTGTATCAAAATTTTTATCAAAATTACTGGTTATACAAATTTTAGCTACAAATAGTTGTTGAATACACCTGTGTGCCTGAAATGTGAGAATCACTACATATGGAATATATTTGTAGGTACTAGAAAAGCAAAGAAGTGACAAGTGATTAAAAAAATCTAGTCCTCAGCAAGAGGCTGAAAAAAATCCAGTCCTCAGCAAGATTACCTCAAACTTAAACTGAATGTTACTCTTTGTAATATCATAACAAACTACTGAATGCTTTTGTGACCATGGCTAGGGGTATCTATTACATTTTTCAAATACAGCTTCTTGTGATAAGTCATGCTACAGACCACATTTCTGTAAGTCTCTTAAGTCCAGTACTGACATATTTTTCCTGCTAGTTTCCCTTAAAACCAAATTGCTCCATTATAAATGCTGGACTGTAAAATTAATTCTTAGATATATTTTGAAATTGTTCTGTATAGAACTGTTCTTGAGTGTTTATCATATAAAAGCACTCCATCAAAGTACAACCTGGAAGACATAAATGACAATATTCATAGATGAAGCAATATCTTATTATATGAGGCAACACAGAAAATGTGATGGATTTTGGCTGACATCCATAAAACTAGGGCTCTGGAATAGCTGGGTCAGTTATGACCTACCATATTTAAGCTGATGTTTCAGTGGCAGCCGTGGCTTGTTCATGATCAGATAGAAGTTCACACTATCCTGACTCTTGCAGTCTTTCCAGTTTAACAAAAACTGAATTAGGCTGGGTTTTTTTCACGGAACATTTCTTCCCTATTTCTCTGTATTCTTTTCATTCATCGGTAGAATAACTCCCACTTCTCTCTGTGTAACTCTGTTAGTTAAGAAGTGGACGTGTTCCCAGCAAATCCATTACAGAAGCAAGGTCCTTAATCCTTGGTTTCGGGCAGAATGAAGCTCCATCAGATCCTCTGACTTCAGAGGCAGTAAGCACGCTATGCTGGTGCCCAAGTTCTGCAAGCAGGAGGGGGATTCTTTCTCCCACTAAAATCTAATTTGCTATGGGATTTTATTTTTAGGTAAGATCACTTAGTTCCTGGTTATTTTAATCTGTGATTCTTAAATACTGGTGAGAGTAAGTCATATTAACCTTAAATTTTGCATTTGTAGAAGTGTTAGCAAAATTCTTGCTAAGAAGCGTAGGGTATTGTAGAGGGAGACATGCATTGTTTTATCGTAATTTTTTGTAAACAGATGATACACAAACGAAAACAATACTTCTCTCTAGATTTAGAAACGTCTCTTGCCCTACTGCTTCTACAAAGTACCGTCTCTTTGGTTTTGTGAAGTTTCTTCAGGCTTTTTCAGAGCTATCTTGGATTGGCTTTTGAAAGCATGTGGGGCTTTGTACTAAATGATGAACAGCTGCATTCTAACTTGATTAACAGACTACAAGCAGTCATTATTGATGTGCTGTATGAATTCTTAAAATTTAAATTCTTATCTCAAACTGAGGTCCCCAAAAGGTAAAGGTCTTATAGCCTTTAAAATGTAAATTAGTGCGTGATGCCTGCTGTAGTTCTGTCAGTTTGCAAGGCTCTCGGATCTTTTGAAGCAGCCTCGTGCAATCTTCAAAACTGCAGAGCGGGTATTTGTCCCCAAAACAAATTATGAAAGAGTTCCGGGAAAGAAACTAATGCTTGTATTCCCAGTGATCCCCAGTTTCAGCTAATACCGCTGGTTGTCTTAATGTTTAGATATTTGTGACATAAATAAACGTTGGGTTTTCCTGTCTTTGTAAAGTATCACTCTGCCACCCTTCATTTTGTTTGCTTTTCTTTTCCAGAGTTTTAACACTTGATAACTAGCAGTGGCTCAATAAAACCATTGTTTTATTCAAATTTATTTTAGGTACAAAATGATCAAGTCCTTCTTGCCTCTTTTACATAGAAATCTGTGACATTCTGCGCAAACTTGTGGTTTTAGTAATGTTTTGTTTTTTAACTTTCAGACTCTTTGTGTCTAATAATTCAGGGCCAAGTTAAGCAACTTACCATCTCTTTCATTGGTTTATGCTAACATTTGCTTTCTGTTCAGCCCAGAACAACTATTTATAGATAATTTTACATGTACTTTAGTCATCCTCTTGTGTATTAGTATTAGATCACTTCAGTTATTTCATATAACACATTTTGTATAGTCTACTTCTGAATTTTGAATCAGTTGTATATGCAGCATTGAGTTGCACAAAGTACCATGCCACAGATAAAAAGTCTTTTGAAAGGTAGAAATAACTCATGTGCTTCCTATTGCTAATTCAATGCATGAAACATTTAAATGCATCCCAAACAGATTTTATTTCTCTAAAAATAGATCATCCTTTATACTAATTTTGAAACATTCCTCCTTACTCGTGAATGTTGGAAGCCTTCCTTTCTGATGTTGCTCTCAGAGCACTAGTGATTCTTTGCCCTCATCACATAGTTGGCTCTTTCAGTGTAATACTGAGGGACAGGAGGAATAGCCACCTTCATCAGAGAAGTACGGTCCTGCTTTTCCACGCGTAATCAGCATTTTTCATGAGAGTTACATGTAATGTGAAGCTGTGTATCTCTACACACCCACTGAGGGCTTGGAAGCTAAGAGTTCTGCTTACTAGAGAAACAGCATGAACTGAGAAGGGTATGTCCTCTTCAGAAAGCTGGATGAATCCCCATGGGCATATGTACTTCTCATTAAGTGTTGCAACTGTAAGCAAAGGTATAAATCAAAAGTAAAAGCGCAACTTTTTAAATAATTCAGGTATTAGAAGTTTGAACCACTGGGCTTTTCCATTACTGACAGATACTTAGTCACATTAGATTCTTACTAGAAGACATGCTGTTGCTTACCAGGAGTAAAAATCGTGCAGTAGAAATTGATTGCTGACCTTGTGCCGAAGATAAGATTCATTCTGACTTGCACTTTTCTGCTGTTAAAATCTGAAAAGAATGTAATAAAGACAATAAAGCTTTTTCAGTTTCCTTCAGACCTTTCAGATTTGAGGCCACTAGAATCTTTCTGAAGCATGTAGAGACAGACAGGGCTTAAAATACTTGTCCGTGAGCACAGTTGTTTGAACACTAGTGTGAGATGCCATCGTATATTTGCTCTCATTAAAGTATTAAGAGATAAGGTTAAATTTTTTTTTCAACATTTTGTATTTTTGCAGTTTCAGATCAAGAAGGAGATCCTTGCTTCTATAGCAGGAATCTAAAGAGTGTGACTGTTAAAGTTCAAGGCTGGGTCAGCCACTAAAGTTTGACAGACCGTCTCTGTGATTTCCCCCCACCCTTCCAGGGGAGGATAATACGGGAACCAGAGAGGGAGACTTTGAGGTTAAAAAACCCCTTGAACCAGTTTAACAACAACAACAAAACCAATAACAATGCAGATGTCAAACTCTATACAGATGTTATACAAGTATGCAAATATGCTCAAAGACGGAAGAGAGTATGTTAATATGGGACCCATGCCTTCTGGATGACAACAAGGTCCTGAGCAGGGGGAAAAAAAAAAAAAAAAGCCCCGGAAAAAAAAAAAAAAAAAAGGCCCAGACTGGACTTGGCAGCAGACGGGAGCACCCAAGCCCAGAGTCCCAATAATAGTCAGAAAACAAAAAACCCACCAAAAATAAAAAATCAGAAAAGGAGGTGTGCTGGTCTCACCCAGCAGAGAAGTCAACTCGTGTCACACAGCTGCTCTGCGGTGTGCAGAGGGAAGGGGGGAGCCCCAGCAGTGCCGAGAGAGACGGTGACAAGGACGAAGAACCCCAACGCCCCTTCCGGCAGAACAGGGGCTCCGAGAGCCTCAGCACGTGGAAGGAGCACTGGGATTGGTCCATTGGGGTCACCCGACTCCCGCTCGCCCGCGGCGGCACAGCTGCCCCGGTGCCAGGGGACCCCCCGGTGCCAGGGGACACCCCCGGCTCTGAGCCCCGGGCCCTCCCGCCTCTGCTCCTGGGGGAACCTCGGTGGGCCGGATCGTGCCCTTAAGAAGCAGTACGAGGTACTCAAGTCTGTTTCCAAGGAAGTTACCCCTAGTGTATAGATGGGCAGCTGTGCACGGGGAGATGCGGTGGCACGTTTGGTTTGGGTCAGGAAGCTTTCTTAGGATAGATCCCACCGGATCGCGGAGAGAGGAGTGCAGGGGGGGTGCCTGCGCCTGCACAGACCTGCTGTCAGGGCCTGAGTGATTCTTAGATTCTTTAGTTACCTCCATTTAGGACTCCAGGCTATAATTCCAACAGGCGAGTTTTCACAAATTTTCTTAAAACAAAGAGGCGTTATAGATTGCAATAAAGTCACATCATAACAGTAGGAATGTGTTTCTCCATTCTACTGTGTTCATATGCAGAGGCTGCTCTGAAGTCTTTAAAAGCACCATTCAAGTATTTCCTCTCTTTGCAAAACCGTTTGGTGCGGGGCAGGCTTTAAAATGCCTGTGCACACCTGAACCTTTTCTCCGAGTTTTAGTTTTAATCGATGGCAGTGGCAATCCAGTCTGCTCTGTCAGCTCACCTCAGGGCTGCCTTCAAACAGCAGGCATATGCTTTGGCATTGCACAGGTTTGATAAGAGCATAAGGCGAGGTGGTTTTCTTAACATTCTGTGAAGGGACAGTTGCAAAGCTGGCAGTAGAACAGCACTGACCTCTAGACTGGTGTTTAATTCACCAGAACATAGTGGCAGGGCACCAAGCTCAGAGTTCATCTTACGGAAGTCAAAGTGGAAAATGCCTTCTCTGCTCACCCATGGATGGATTATATAAACGCTTGTTTCTCTGCAGTGTGTAATTTCTGGAGCTGCTAAAGAGAGGGGGAAAGGGTGAAATAGCTAAGATTTTAGTGTTAAACATCAAACTGTTAAAGATGTGCAAGTCGCCTTCAGTCATAGGATCATAGGAAGCAGCAATGTTGATGTCAGGGCATAGCGGGGAAACGGTTGGGGCAGTGCTGAAGGTGGAGCGCCTGCACAGCATCACATCATAGGATGTGTCCCAAAATGAGCACTGTAGCTGCATCTGACTGCTTAACCCCATCAAATCCGTTCAAAGGCTGTTCATGCGATTTAGGGCATGATTTTGTGGAAAGAAAAAGGTGTTTGATGGGATAATCTGTATTTTTAATGCATGTCAATATATTAGTTTCTCACTTAAGCTTCCAAAATTGAGAATATACCAATTAAGTTATTTGTACAGTGAAGTGTTTTTCTTTGTTGCATTGCAAATTCAAATGACTAATGCAGAAAGGCACTATGATCATCATTAGAAATAAATATGCCATTAACAGAAACTGATTTTTTTCCAGTTGTCTAAAATTGCATGAAAAATGTTCTCTGGTGCTTCGGCTTTCAGAAGATTTAGACATTTGACATTGATACAAGTGCGTAATAGCTTGTGTCACTTTTAAAGTGACAAAATGTAACACTGCCTATAGAATACTTTCTTTTCCCACCTAATTCTGCTTATGCAAGCTTGTTCAGTCCAGCTGAAGCCAGAAAACAGCCACTCATGTCCAAATGAGCTTTCATCTGTCACTCAACAAATCCTCACACCTGTTACAAGCGCGAAGTGCTGTAACCGGAGTTAACCCCCAAAGGCTATTCTTTGATTGAGTCCTGAAAGTTCATCCATTTTACTATGTTCTCTTAGAATTTTTCTTTGTTTTGCAATTAAAGTTACCACTGTACTGACGGCTTCTTACAACCTCCTTATATAAAGCCCTAGAGACTCATTTCAGCTTTAGATTTACTTTTTTAAAAATTCCCCATGAAATAGTGCAACGTGCCGTGGACTTCACAAAGAGTAAGAAATATCTCTGCCACTTTTTGTGTGTTACTGTGGATGACGACCAAGACAACTAACAGGTCACAAGGATGTGGGAAACGCTGAAATTGAAAATTACATCTTTTTGAGTTTAAATCCAAACTGAACTGCAGTATGTGAGCAAGTACTGACTATTTCATGCTGTTTCAAACTGTTCTACAAGTACAGCTCTTACGGTGACATTAGACTGCAGTTCTCTAGAGAGAACAAAAACAAGTCTTATTTTCTTCTTCAGGGGTCTTGTACATGGGGCCGTTGGTATGTTTTTAACTTGTTTATACTGCCTAGTGCAGCAGGCAGAGCAGACGATTTTGATCTGTACTGGGCACTCTGTGAAAGAGGGAAGAAAATAAGTGCCACTCAGTGTATCCATACAAAGTGTTCAAGTAACTGTCTACAGTAATACTTACGATAGGTACAAAGATGCCTGGGGACATCTCTACAATAATTGAGGAAGGCACTATGAAACATTAGTCCTGAGGTTGCACTCATGTCCATGCACCAGCTGGATGCGCTGCAGTTTGTGAGAGATTCATTGTTGTCTAACCTTGAAAAAGCGGCTTCAACGTGTGGCCGGCACCCCTGTAAGAGTCAATCCGTGCTGACAGGGTTCATCCTTGGGGAGATGCTGCTGACATACTACAGGAGTGTCCTGAATCCACTTAATGTCAGTACAGATACCAAATTTAGCTTTTAGCATAACCTGACTGTAAAAAGGAGGAATGAAGACTAGGCTGTTTTCTAAATACGTTTTAAATACCTCTAGAACTCAGATATTCATTAGGCTTGGAAGTAGGAGATTGCACTCACGCTTTATCCTGAAATAATTCATATCATCTGTTCTTTTTAAAGTTAATGTTAACACAAGGCCTGGGTTGCGCTGTGGGAATACAGGGACTGTGCTGCTGGTAATCCTGGCTGTCTGCTGATAGTGCTTCTCGCAACTTGTGCAGCCGCAGCCCACCCAAGACCTGAACTTCTCTCCGTGTAGCCCCCTGACGGGCCACAGAGTCCCCCTTAAAGCTGATTGCCTTTAGGAGTGTCAAGAGAAGACACCAGCTTCTCTTCTTGTTTTCTGTTCTTGTTTTTTTTGCTCATTTTTGACATGTAATCTCAGAGATCTCGGAAAGACAAGACTGTCCGACTTGTTTGCGAGGATGACACCTATGCCCACAGTTTTCTCTGTGCCCTTTCACCCGTGCGGCTGCAGTTTGCGGGGAGTGTGCTGATGGGACGTGTGTCGTCGTGAGCCTCCCTCGCAAAGCTTCTCTTCAGCTAGATTTTGATCACTCTAACGCTTTTCCTCACATTTGCATGTCGCAGCAGCATATGGGCCCGTCTGCTGCAGACTGTCCCTTGTACACGCGGATAAACTGATTCAGACAGTTGCACTAGTGTTCAAGGAAAATCCAAGCAGATATGAAGCTTGTTTGGAATACTAGCAAAAATAGAGTGTTCTTTAGGCATAATAGGTTTTGTGTAATTAATTTTGTGAGGATATTAAGAATTTTAACATTAAAATATCTTCTAAAGCATTATTCCAAAAGCAATGATTCAGGCAATACTAGCTTGAATGCAAATCTTTGTGCGAGTAGAGTTTGATTAGCTTGCTTTCTTTCTTTTTTCCAAACCGTAGCTTTTGTCAGGAGCGATAAGCCAAAACTCTTCAGGGGACTGCAAATCAAGGTGAGTAGTAAGCTGCCTTTGGGGGGCGGGGGATGTTAGGAAGAATTAAGCTTGGTGGAGACAGTCATGTGGGTTGTCCCTTGGTTGCTGATCCAGTAATCCTGCAGCAGAGGACATATATTTGCACTGCCAGTACAAATCTTCATGAGTTCCTGCTGTTAATATTAATTGTTTTATTGCTCAGTAACTGCTAAGTACCAATTCTTTGTAGTTGGGGTTTGTTTTTAATCCAAGAAAAAATATACTGAAACCTGTAAGGAATAGCAGATGGCAAAAGAACGCGAAGAATGCTTGCATTCTGCCTTTACTCTGGATATCTTGGATTTGCTCAAGGTTATTCTGCCATAGTTTCCTTTTGTCCTGTTCTGTTCTCCCCTCAGTTTCTGATTGAGCTGCCATTTCCATACATTCAGCAATTCTTAGATTTTTTTGCCTCCCTCTCATAATTTCACAGAATCACAGAATGTGTTGGGTTGGAAGGGACCTTTAAAGGTCATCTAGTCCAACCCCCTGCAGTGAGCAGGGACAGCTTTAGCTAGATCAGGTTGCTCAGAGCCCCATCTAACCTGACCCTGAATGCCTTCAGGGATGGGACTTCCACCACGCCTCTGGGCTACCTGTTCCAGTGTTTCACCACCCTCACTGGGAAAAATTTCTTCCTTATATCTGATCTACATCTGCCCTCTTTTAGTTTAAAACCATTGCCCCATGTCCCATTGCAACAGGCCTTGCTAGAATGGTTGTTTCCATCTTTCTTGAAGTACTGAGAGGCTGTCATAAGGTTTCCCTGGAGCCTCTCCTCCAGGCTGAACAACCTCAACTCTCTCAGCCTGTTGTTACAGGGGAGAAGTTCCAGCGCTCTGATCATTTTTGTGACCTCCTCTGGATCCACTCCAACAGGTCCATGTATGTCCCATTGCAACAGGCCTTGCTAGAATGGTTGTTTCCATCTTTCTTGAAGTACTGAGAGGCTGTCATAAGGTTTCCCTGGAGCCTCTCCTCCAGGCTGAACAACCTCAACTCTCTCAGCCTGTTGTTACAGGGGAGAAGTTCCAGCGCTCTGATCATTTTTGTGACCTCCTCTTGATCCACTCCAACAGGTCCATGTCCTTCTTGTGTTGAGGGCTCCAGAGCTGGACGCAGTACTCCAGGTGGGGTCTCACCAGAGCAGAGCAGAGGGGCAGGATCACCTCTCTCAGTCTGCCAGCTGCACTTCTGATGCAGCCCAGAAAGCGACTGGCCTTGTGAGTGTGCAGTGGTGGTTCACGTCCAGCTTTCTGCCCACCAAGACCCCCAAGTCCTTTTCCGCTGGGCTGCTCTCTAGCACATCATCCCTCAACCTGTGGTGATACGCAGGATTGCCCCAACCCAGGTGCACACAGTTGGCCTTGTTGAACCTCAGGAGGTTCACGCAGACCCACTGCTCCAGCTTGTCCAGGTCCCTCTGGATGGCATCCCGTCCCTCTGGCATATCGGTCACGCCACTCGGCTCGGTGTCATCTGTGAACGGCCTGAGGCTGGGCTCAATCCATCATGAGGCTGCGCTCAATCCCGCTCTGTCATTGATGAAGATAATAAACAGCACTGGTCACAGTGTGGGCCCCTGCTGTGTTCCATGAATCTTTATAGTCTTCAAACACCCAGCTTTAGAGAAATGCATATCCTGAATGGGGCTGCTTCTGCCACGCAGATATGCAAAGCTGCATAAAAACTGCACTGCCCTAAGCTCAAACAATTCTTTGGTTTCAAGATCTAGTGGAAAACTTCACCTTCCTCTTAAAATCCTATATGAACTTCCAGTATATTTCACAGATACACATCTTGATTCGCACGTCTTGTGCTCCCATCTCTGTTCACCAAATGGCACCATCTGGAGTCACTTCTCAGCTGTGCAGGGCTGTGATCAGTGCTTTGTCTGCCGAGCAGCAGATTCCAGCTAAAACAGATTTCCTCTGTCTCAAGCATTTGTGACTCTGTGTCCTCCAGTTTCTTTCAAAAGCTTTCTTTCCTTCTGCATGTCTGTTTCGTTTTTATTTTAAACTTTGTAGCTGCATTGAACATCAAAGCAGGCTAGAGTACAACTGGTATAGAGCACTACCAGAAAATTTTAGTGCAAACGGATCTGTATTTATGTTACAAGACATTTGGAAAACAGATTGCAGATACCACTAGCTTCATGAAGTAAAACCAACTAGGTTAGCTCAGTAGGGTAAAGTAGAATAGTCCTTTCCATAAACTGAAATGGTAGAGCCTTCTAATATTGTTAAAAGCTTTTATTGGCATTACACTTTTTGTGACTTAGTGAGTCTTCAGAAGCATTAAAACATGATGTTACTAGCAAAGCCTAGTAGCACAGAAACAACAGAGCAGGGAAGAATAGGATTACTTAGAAATTGATAGTAGAACTTTGAACTGTTAAAGGTTCCTGATTTGGTAGAAAGGCTATTGATTATATGAGAAAAATCATTCAGATGCTTGATTCAAAAATCCAACTTTGGCTGGATTTGGTCAGAACAGTTGAAATAAAATACCATCTTTTAAAGCTAGGCTTAAGGCATCGTTGCCCTGCATATACATTAGTTTGTGTAGCGGGCCAAGGAGAACACTGTTCTGGATCCCACGATACACATTGACTGCTCTTAAATGAATGTGTTTTAATTTCTCTGAAATGAGGCCTCTTTGTCCCTTACGCTTCCTTCTTCCTTATTCCTTAGGACTAGGCAAGAAAGTATCGAATGCAAAGCTGCCGACACTGGCCAGCTGCTGCCTGTGCAGTGTGCAGCCTGCGGCGTCCCCGTCTTCGCAGCTGCAGCACGGTGTCTCCCTTCTTACCGATTCTCCCTTTGCATACACACACGTGTGCAAAATTTACCTTTAAACTTTGAGTCTGCACAGGAGGTGAAAAAAATTAGAGGAGAGAGGGTAGCAGCATAGGAGAAAAGCTCAGAGAGTGATCTCAAGCTTAATTTGACTTTTGTAGATCTGTTTTCTTCAAGAAAAGTAGAATAAATTGTTGTTAGATGCTCTAGGTATGAAATTCATAACAAAACATGTGGCACTGGAATATTTATAGCACTGAGCCTTGTCAGGAACAACCAAGCTTGTCTGTTTGTTTGTTAAGAATTCTAAGCTTTAAAAAGCCAAAGCTTAGACTGATTTCGTAGCACAGATCGCATCGCCAAAGCTTGCCCAGAATACTCTGATGTAATTTAGCACTCTGTTCTTAAGTATTCGTTCTTCTGGTGTCACCCTTTGGACTTTTTACTGTTCTTGCTTTGACATCTTTTTAACTGATTTAAATCAGTTGGGGGCGGGCTGTTGATACGGAAAATGCATTTTCAGCCCAAGGTAAGAGACTCTCTTCTTCTTTTTTTCTTTTCTTTTTTTCAGTATGTGCGTGGTTCTGACCCTGTACTAAAGCTGCTGGATGACAGTGGGAACATTGCAGAAGAACTGAGCATCCTCAAGTGGAATACTGATAGTGTAGAAGAATTTCTAAGTGAAAAATTAGAACGTCTATAAATCGTTGATTTCAGTCCTATTTCCTTTCCATGTTTGGTCATGGTAATCTTCTTAGATGAAATTGATTTCAGCCCTATTTCCTTTTCATGTTTGGTCATGGTAATCTTCTTAGATGAAAAGTGCTACAACTGAAAAAACATTCCAGCTTCTATATTGATTTTAAAGTATCTATTGTGCTGTACTAAACATCTTGCAATTAGAAAGAGATTCTGACAAGCACTCATCTGACAAGTTGACAAACAGAATAGCTTGTCTTCCTATATTTTGGCTTTTAAAGCATTTACCACTAACAAAATGCTTTGTTTCAAAGTTAATTATGCAAATATGTTTGTTATTATTGGGCCTGTTTTTACAAATGCTCTTAAAACCGAAGAGCTTCAAATAATTGCAGTGATTACCATGCTCTTTGCTGCTGTTTGTCAGAACATCAGAACCAAATGCAGCGTACTATCTCCCAAAGAAACTTGACTGCTAATGCCCTTTTCCTTGTATTTGAACTGCCCTTTTTATAGAAGCATTGTTTACAGGGAGTATTTCACAGGTTTTGAAGATGATGGAGGAACTCATGCTCTGGTACCATGAAACACTTAGTAAGTACACCTTAGTGAAGACTACATAGAAAACCTCTGAGGTGTATGAAGTCAGATGTCAGGTGTGCTTTACATTAAGTGTTTTGCTTCAGAAAACATGAGACACATCTTGAAAAGCCTTTCCTTCTAACTTTCACATGTTTATTGGAAGTCTGTCTATCAAATGAATTTATAAACTGTTCTTTTAAAATGTGTATTTTTCTTTCTTTTCTTTTGAAATGTATTTGAACAGGGAATATAGACAGTCTGTATGGTAATGAGTTACGGTTATGACTTGTCAGGTTTTTTTCCACTTAGAGTGAATAAATATGGTAAGCAAGAATAATGTGGATTTTTTTCTGAAGTCTAATTAGCAAATAAGTCTTCCCTTTTACTACTTCACGCTCTCCAGTTTTTTGTTGGATGGATGTTATACTATGGCCTGAATTGGTACTCAGTTTTTTCTCTTCATATATAATTTTGTATCTCAGGAAATTTCTGTACAATTTACAGATTTTTCTTCCCAACTTTTGAGAAGAAATCATCAGCTTCATAGCAGAATAATAAACTTGGAACTGAGACCACACTAAACTGAGAGAAGTAGTACACTGAGGTGATTCTCTAGGCATAGCCTTCTGCGTTTTTGTTCCTGAGATATTCTCATAAACTTTCAGAAGTTAGGTCACATGATGTTATCCCCCCGTTCCCATTCCCTCTCTTACTTCTGTGCCTTCTACTCTTTGTAAAATGTGCTGCTCACCTCCCAGGTGACGCATTGTAGGACAGCTACAACGTCCTGGTTACCACTATCTTAGAGAAATATGAACTATACACAAAAAGCACAAATCTTTGCAGCTTGTGCTAACTTACCAGAGTCATAGATTTGTTCTTGGGATGTGTGATGTATTCATCAACAGATGAGCCACAACCAACACATGTGGCCTGACAACCCAGAGTTGTGGTAGTAAAAATATGCTGCCATCCACTGGTTTTTTGATATACTGACTATATCCCATACTTCTCATTCTGATGTTTGTCGGCAAAGGATTTCAGTTTCTGTGTGGATGATTTATTGTGCTGCATTAGCAGATCACTTTAACCTCGTCCTTCTCTCCAGTCTTAGGTCCTCCTTACCAGAGAAAAAGAGAGATTATTTGCTACATTTGATACCCACGAAATACTTCTCTCAGTATTTCCTTCCTCTTCATTAACATGATGGCCAGGGGGTTTCTGACCTCCAACCTCCCTGTTCTTTACATACCTTCCTACTGACAGCCGACTGCCCAAAAAAAAACCCTCTTCCAACACCAAGTCCTTCACAGAATCACAGAACCGTTAAGGCTGGAAAACACCTCTCAGTTCATCAAGTCCAGCCTGTGGCCCAGCACCACCACATCCACTAGACCAGGGCACTAAGTGCCACATCCAGCCTCTGCTTAAACACGTCCAGGGACAGTGCCTCCACCACTTCCCTGGGCAGGGCATTCCAGTGCCTCTGCCACTGTTGCCTTCCACTGAAGCAAGGAGGTAACCATCCCACGGTGGAAGAGGATGACAGGCCAAGTAATTTCTCCTCTGCCATACCAGGGTTTTATGACCAGTCCCAGTACTGTTTCTGCAGCCTCTTGCCTTTCCTCATATTGGTTCTCACTAGTTTTCATCAGGGAGACTGGAAATGATCTTTTCTCCTAGATTTCTTTGTAGGCTCCCGATTTGTTGATTTCTATTCCACATACTAATCTTGCCTCGTAATATAGATATTTATTCCCTTAGCTTAAAAGCATGCACAAGGTACATCCCCATATGTCCCTGGACACAGGAACATGTCAGGAGTCTTCCATGACTCTATTACTGAGCTGCTAAGCCCTGAACCTCCTTGATCTTGTTAGCCTCTAGCAAAAGCTCAATTACTGATGCTTCCTGGCCTGTTGACGGCTCTCCACGCTGTTCTTAAAGTGTTAATTTCATAATGTCCTTTCTTTATTCTTTCTCATTCTATCCTTTGAATGATACTCATGTTCTTGCCCCTCAGACACGTGTTAGGAACATGTAATGTTCCGGCAAAACTGAGCCAGGCTTTGTGCGGAAAGAGGCAGTTGGAGAGGGGAATAATTTCTTTTGGAAATTCTTAAGTTTCTATTTATCAGTGTGGGGTTTTTTTCCCTTCCAGTCTGCAGCTGTGAAAATTCAGAGCTCAAAAGGTTATTTTGGCTTGTGGCAATTAGCTACACAAAATACATGGTTTAAAGCTACCGTTTAAAAAGGAAGTGATTCATTTTTACTTATAGCCACAATAAGCACCCAGTACTTCATGAAAGGCATTCACTCAGATTTATGTAAGAATTATTTAGTCTTATATAATGCTCTTGTTGTGCCAAATCTTGAGAGAGTTCATGAAAGGAAGAATAAAAGCAGTGAGCACGCATGACTGAGTTGAAACATGAAGTATCCATCTACCCCTTCTGTCTTTTTAGAAGGAAAAAAGGCAACTCATCTTGCAGGAGAGAGTATCCGTCCTTTTTTAAAGAAGGAAAGCAGTGTTACACATTCTATTTTGTACGTATGATAGGTAGATTCATTTGAAGACTAGTGTACAAGCTACTTGGAAGGGTTTTCTGGGTACCTGCTTAGTCATTCCTGCAATGTGAAGCAGAAGAAAATGATTGTAGCTGGCAAAAATCTGTTTCAGAGCTAAGGGAAATGTTCCAGCAGACATTAAAATCATGGAAAGAAAGTAAGCATTCAACCCAGTCTTTGTTTTAGTGTTTCATTACGTAGATAGAACAAGAACAGATTGCCAGCTTAATGAAGAGCGTATACAAAAAAGTATGTGTATTGAGAAACCTGGGCTCCTATTGAGAACGTCACTTTTTTTTGAACCTGAGCTTTCATTAGTAAAGTAAATCTGTTGATGTTCCTTTTCAGCCAGGGAGATTAGATCCCCTGCAAAAGACAAAAAGATACAAAAAGAAAAAAAAAGCTTTATAGTTTTTCTATTTCATTAGCATGGAAGCTGGATTTTTAGAGGTGCATTAGAACTTCTCCACATTCCACCCATAAAGGCAAACAGACTCCAATCTAATGAGATAATTTCACAAGTGCACTGCAAGGAAAAGAAAAACACATTTGCTGGTTCTTGCAGCATGTGAGGAGGGTTAGATGAAGAACAAAATTTTCTTTGCTAGGGATGCTTTCACCACTTAAAGTAAACGGACTTTTAAATTAGTCAGTTGTGCCTCAGAAGGGTCCATCAAATGGAGAAACACAGAATACATCAAAAGCAGCTAAAGAAAACATCATCTGAATTTGTGTGGGTTTCCTTAAGTTGTTAACTCCTAAGCCTCAACTCAATTACTTCAAAACAAATTTGCTGTCATGTGTCAAAGGAAGAGCCCAAGGCACAAGATAGCCAAGGAGACAAAGAACAGAGAGCAACCGAGATGCTATTGAACGCCTGTGGTTCAGAGCACCAGCTTCCCCACCAAATGCACTCGTGTAAGAAGTCTAAGCAGAGGGTAGCTGGAGAATATTTCCAGGTGTTTTTTTTCCTTATCACTTCTTATAGGGGCTGGACAGAAGGAAACACATTATGAAATTACCTCTGAGCTCAGGCAGGAAACAAAGTACAGAAGCAGAGTATTCTTGCAGTTATTGATCTAAATAAGGAACCACGGCACCAGGTGAACACAGACTGTCTCAAGGAGTACCTGATTATCTATTTCGCTTTGAAATAGGTTTCTGGTGCTGAATGAGGCCTGTCAGCCTCTTTGCCCAAGAAGCCAGGTATCCAACGTGTTTCCATTGCATCTTTACACACTGAAAGCCTCAGACACAGCAGCACTTGTGTGTGCTGACACAGAAGTTAAAAAAAAAGCTTCTGAACACTGAGAAACAACCGAAGTCTCGTAACACTTCCCACTCCTAAGGCAACCAAGACCAAAAGAGTTCACCACAATTTACCCTTGCATTGAGCAAACACTTCTTTTTTTGACTCATAGTTCATTTTGTCTGCTCTCTGGCCGTGTTTGTTTCAAAGCACTTGCAGCAATGCAGTGATCCCAGATGACCTGCGCAGCCTAATGCAGCTTCAGGTAGGCAGTGGTAACGTACATACCCTCGTGCGGGTATTCCTGCCAGTCCCTGTTCTCCTTGAACACAGACACCACACATACAGCTTCATACTGGGCCCATGGGGAGTATTAATGACATTAATTGTGCATATTTTGAAAGTTTCTAGGTAGCCTTCAGGGGCTGTACATGCCTAATGTGAGTTTAAACATTTTGCAGAAAGGAAATTGATCCTAGTGCCTAGGAGTTCAGTTAGAAACTGCATTGCTTTGTGGCTTAGAGCACAAGGACAGGCACATCTTTAACGAACAGGTGTAGCTGGCGCAGGGAACAGAGCCACTGTGCTTACTCAGTGCAGCCAGG